GTGCTCAGAATGTTTTCCTTCCAGATGATGACTGAGAAGCTAATTAAAAAAAATGGTGCCAAGTACCACAAGAGTACTTTTTTTGTTGTTGTTTGTTTGCTTTTTGTTTTTGTTTGTTTTTTGTTTTTTTAAAATGGAGTGTGCTGGATGTCTCTACAATTTTGTTCAAAGGACTGCAGAACCTGGAAAAGCTTTTGCTGCTATGGATGCATAACATATTGCCATTATTGATATATATATATCAATATATATATATATATATATATATATATTATACACACACACATATATATATGGTATAGATGTCTTTTAAAAGAGTTAAAAAAGGAAAACAAGACAAATGTCACACAATTTCAATTTTATGTGTAACCTAGAAATGATGAACTTATGGGAACAGAGAGCAGAATTGTGGCTATTAGGTTTCAGTGTGGGACTTTTAACAATGGGGACACGATTGGTTTAAGGATATAAAACTGCAGTTGGATAAGAGGCATGGACTCTCTGAAGTCTTGAGGTCTACTGAGAGCATGATAAATATGGTTGATAACAATATGCTATATTTTAAAAGTTGTGAGATAGTTTACTTAAGTGTTTTCAAAACAAAAATGATGAATATGTGTGATATAACATGTTAATTGGTTTAATTTAGCCATGCCATTGTGAACATACTATATTATGTATCATAATTGTGCATGACTTTATTTATGAACTAAATAAATGAATGAAAAAAGAATAAACAGCCTTATAAACAAAGTTGAATGTACGTGCTCACAGATATGCTGCCTCTGATAATTTTAATTATTAGAGAGACACTGCTTGAAATGCACCATGTTTGAATATGTCTAGTTATCTCTGTTCACATATAATAGTAATGATACAATTAGAAACATGAACACAAAACCTCGAAAGTGTTAGCAGGACTACTGGAATAAAATACCTTTCCTGTTGGAAGGAGTGGATGGGGGGGAGCTGGGAGGGAGGCAAGGGGGCAGGAGGAGGGATGGGAGGGAGAACTTTGGGTGGAATGTAAAATGAAATAAAAATAAAGAAATATAAAGAAAAAAGAATACCAGAATTTATTCATTGTCTATAATATCTTTCTGACCCCTTACCTTCCCATGTAAAGACTACCATTTCACTTCTGTTATGTTAAGCAAAAAAGTATGCCATTTTAGAAGATAAATTAAAACAAAATATCTGTCATTTGTAGAGACTAAATTGTTTAACTTGTAGAAGATTATATTCCATATGTATATAAGTTGACTAGGAATGGATTTGTGACTGCTGATCTTGGTTGTCAACTTGACTACATCTGGAATCAATAAAACCCAAGCTTTTGGGCACTCATGTGAGGGATTTTCCTAATCAGATTATTAGAACCAAGAAGAACCACCCTAACTCTGTTCCATACCCTCATCAAAGGACATGGAAGAAAGGAAGCTTTGCTTTTGCCTGCTCGTCCTCATCCTCACCAGCAAGTTCATCTATCCTGTTTCTGAGGCAGTCCTTCACCAGCATAGGTACAATTTGTGGGATGGAGATCAGCAGTTATTCAGTAATCCTCCAGACTCAATCACCAGATTGGGACTGCTGAGGAATTCAGCCTTGTAAACTGAGTAACTACTGGAGTCTCAGTCTCTCCAATGTGAGATAGCCATTGTTGAACTACCCAAACTGCATCTTGTAAGGCAGTTTAGCAAATATCCTGCTTTTAACATATCGGTTCTGTACCTTTTAAGAATCCTGCCTAATTAATCTAGATTGTTGTAGCAAGAGTGGGATATTACTGCAATGGGCCTGATTGTTTATTTGGGGGAGGATTGTGAAGGATTTTGGAGTTCTTGGCTGGAAACATCATTTAATATTTACAGCTTAATGACTTGTTGTTAATTTAATGATAACACTGACAGCAATGAAGGCAATGGAGATCTGGCCTGGAAAGTTGCAGAAGGAAGCAAAGACACAATCATGGTCATTCCTATGATATTTTGGACCAGAAATCTTTGGAAGTGAAACCTTTGCTTTACTGATAGAATTGATGCTGGTCATGTGGGATTGAGGAATCAGCTGTGAGTAAGAGGTGATCAGCATTACTGAAGTGAAATCTTTTGGGAATATTTCCTCAGGGACAGCACACAGAAGCCAGCTTCTAATTCTGGCAACTGGCAACAAACATTCTTATTAGCCAAATCAAATAGATGAGGGTCAGGTTTTAAATAAGAGGACTACCCAAATGACAATATGTTCATTTTGATGGGGGGTGATTATAGGTAACATGAAGAAAAAAGATTTTTGGTATTTATTTATTGAATTGCTGATGTAAATATATACTGTTTTAAAGACAGCATTTGCTGGTTGCTTTGCATATATAAATTTACGTGCCTTTAACTCTACCTACAAACTTGTACATAGAATTTAGATACATTTCAGACACTTAGCTTTATGCAGAGGGTGATAAAAGTACAAAAGTTGTGTTAGAGAATAACTTCATATAAAGTGGGCATTTAACAGACTGACATGAAGATATTTAACTAAACTTTTATTTGTTAAAACCAAATTTCTTAAGTAACCAAATGTCTGGCAAAATCAACAGAAAGAAAGCCATTATTTTGATAAAATATAAAATGTCATCCTCTTAACCAATAATCTTTTTCAAATGTTAGTAAAAGTAGAACAATATTTTTAAGAAAGCTTTGTTGCTTTGGATATAGAGAATTAGATTCTGGTTCTATATCATTAAAATAAAATTGGCTTCATAAAATCCTTAAGGTACATATACATCTTGATTTTCTGTATACAGAATTTCATGTTAATTGGGATTTTAGTATGCAATAATCTTATTTTTAGAAGAGACTCAAACAATAATCTTACTCTCTTTCTTTATATTCAGTTATTTGTATTTATATTCAGAGGCTATTCCCATAAAGTCTCAACAACATGATTGCCCAAATGTGGTCAGCATTATACAGCCTGATCAGGTTATATTTAGGAATATATGTATATGCATTAATAGCAATTAATAAAAAATAAGTGGGGGTGAATATATGGGAGAATTTGGAGAGAGGAGAGGGAAGGGAGTCATGTAGTTAAATTATAAACTCACGAATAGAAAATGGCTACACTAGTAAGAGGAGCAGATGAATGGGTCCAGTGACAGCTTCTAAGAACTAGTTACCTTTTTAAATTCACCATATAGTTTCTAACATCTTCAGTTTTTATTGTGGGCACCTAAATTCTTCCAGGAATTAGTTCTAAGTATGATATAAAATAATGAGTTTGACAATAGGAAAGTATTACAAGTATTTGCTTAGAAGGAATCTCAGAAGGCTAATTTATTCACTATTTAGGAGTAGTGTTTTGACTTGTTTGCATATAAAACCAGCCAGAACTCATTGGAACATTATCTCCCATATGGCATAAACATATGTAATGCTTAACATTCAACAGCAGATTGACATCCAAAATTAACATGAAGGACTGGCTCATGTTCAATTTCAATGAAAATCGTGGTTTCTTTTCAATGTTGATGAAAAGTACTTCTATTTTCTTCACTCTTCTCCTTTCTATGTTGCTGTATATGAAAAGCTCAATTTACTAAGTCAAATACAAAAGATAGACTCATGAAATTAAAGGTTCATTTGCACGTCACAGAAAGATTTCAGAAAAATTCAATTTGAATTTGAATACTGATGAATATTTGCTAAAAACACACCACACATACCTCCTCTAAGGTAAATAATGGATTCCAATATTTTCTCAGAGTCATTACTGTGCAAATATCTAGATAGTTAAAATTTGCCTTACAATATTACTGCCTGAGTAAAAGTCTTCCTGTATCAGGCATTGCAGGGTGTATTATGGACTCTGATTCCTCATAAAACGCTGAAGAATATTTTAAAGAAAGTATTTCATAGGCTAAACTGAAATAAAAAGGACTGAAGGAAGAATCAGTAAATGCATTAGGCATGTATGTTAGAGTACTTAAATAGAGAATGTATACATTTAAAGAACTTCTCTAGTTTTCTTTCTTAGTTAAAATGGAAATTTCTCTCCAGCTTAGTACTCATATTTCTGTTGCTGTCTTATATTCCTATAATTTTACTTCTGATTTGTACAATCACATAGTTTTGATTATAGTTGAGCTACTGTCTCATTATTAGCAATTCCAGAATTAAATAATTTGATTCAGTGTTGTGTTTTTACTTAGAAGACATCACACTAAAACGTTCCATGTAAAATAAGAGTGGAGTTTCAGAACTCTGAAGTAATGAAACTTAAAATTGGAATCAGGCACTAGAAACAGATTAACACCCACTGTTTCATTTGTTCATATCTGGCATCCATGTTGCTCTGCATCTCTCTCATCTCTTGCATTTCAGTCAGAATTTTCTGAAACTCATCAGAGAAGAGGCTGGTATCTTCAATTTTTATTGTTGGCACCTAAAGAAGGAACAGTACAGTCACGCTGGTTAAAAATTTGGCAAACCATTAACTATCTGTTATGAGCACTAATGAGAAAGGAAAAAAAGCATGACTAATGGGGAAAAAGACATTTAATTCTGTAAATGCACCTCAATTATAGTACTACAGTGTGCATGCTTCATATTATAGTTATTACATACATTATTATGCTTCCACTATCTTCAAAGCCCCTGAAAGATTAGGAGGCTGGAGAGATGGTTCATCAGTTCATAGTACTGGCTGCTCTTCTGGAGGACCCAGGTTATTCTGTAACTCAAGTCTCAGGAGACATGACACCCTCTTCTGGCCTCCGTAAGAACTACATGTTCATGATAGGTAGACATGCAGGCAAAATACCCACACATAAAAAAATTAAATAAGAAATTAAAAATATAGTTTCTGACTATACTTCTTCCCGATTTCAAGAATATCTTAGATATGGAAGACTTTCAATAAAACCAGAACATATATA